ACTTGGTCTATCTGAAGTGTCACTTTAAAAGCTGTAGTTTGAATGTCAAAGAAGTTAATTTCCAGGTTGCTGTTGACAAACTTATTGTTCATTTTTAATTATTTTTTTTTCAATACAACACAGTAAGTTTTTCTTTATTATTGAGTTGATGTATATGCCTTTGGCAAAGCTAACATCTGCTTTACCCTATTGCCTTTTCAAAACCAAAGGTGATGATACCTGTGACAGTAATACAGTACGAAATGTGTACATCAACATGTGCCTCCTACAAATAAAGACTTGTTGTTTTTTTGATACACTGTGGTTAAATTCGTAATAATAGCTCCGTAGTCCTGTGGTTTTAGCAGCGTTTTTTTTTTTGGCCGAATTTTTTTTTTTTCGCTCTCTCGCATTAGTTTTGGGGTCTTCAGAGGATGTCATCCATAAAATTAAATCAGTGTGGCCTAATCATGATAACATGGTTGCTACGGTAACATAATGTTATAAATTTAAGTAGAAAAGTCGTGTTTGTATTTGGAATGAATGCTAGTTAGTTATTGAAACCCTGGTTGAGTGTTTGATTTCTACCAATGTATTCCTCTCCAATTCATCTGTTTTGTTCATTTATATATTTAAAATGTAAAGTCAAATAAATTTCTTTTCTTTCTCTCTGTCCTTTATTCTATTTATATTTTTGATTACTAATATTCTCGTTATTTTGAGTGTTTTGAGTGAATGACATTGCTTCAAGAAACTTAATTTGTTAGAGAATCTGTCTTTTGTCTTAATAAAATTCAAATGCATTAAATTGATAGTTTAATCGAACAAAAATTTACTGAATCCAATATGTTGTCTCTAACTTAATGCATGTTGCTATGGAAACCAATCTCGTAAGAATTTTCTGCTTAAATTGCGGAGTAGTGTTTGACTTGTTTCAATTTTTCCCCCAAATAAAATTGTTTTTTATTGTTCGTTTTTTTTTTTAATGTCTAAGATCGTCATTGATGAAAAGTCTCAAGAAGTTGATGAACAGTCCGATGAAGGCATTGGAGGAAATGGAAGTGAACATTCAGAAACAACCTCAGAGAAAGCTGCTATTCATGATGAGGAGAAGGAAACCCACTCAGAAACAAATGTTTCTTCGTTAATTACAGCTTTTGAGAAAACAAGTGATGTGTCTACAAACAAGTCTGCATCGTCTGAGGACTTAAAAACTAATACTTCTGTGGCTGCATCTAATGAAGATGTCAAAGAGTTGACAGAGGAAGAGATATCTGAGGAAGAAGCCATGGCTGCTTGTAAAGAAGTACTTCAGGATTTGTTGAGTAGATCAGAAGGTGAAAGAGAAAAAGCTGAAGATATGAAAGAAAAAACATTACAAGAAAATGACGCTGAAAAAGCAGTGTTCAAAGTGCCGGAAACTCCTGCACCGGCTGTAGAGAAAACAAAGGAGGATTCACCGCCATCAACGGTGAAAAGGGGAGAGGAGGCAGAGGACAAATATGGAAGTATATCCAGTCAAAAATCCAATATGTCTGACACTGAGAGTATATCTACAATGGACAGTTTAGATAGTTCGGATAAAGCAGATAGTAAAGATGATAAAGACTCAATAGATAGAAATGTGAGAAAACGAGGATCTGAGGTAAGCGGTTGTCTTCCCCTTTCTGCTTTCTGATCTCCATAATTGAGTTTGATATGAAAACATCAGAATGTTCTGTTACTTTGATAATATTATTGGCTGACAACTATAATACAAAAATCACTGTGTTTGTTGTGTGTGTCAGGCAGGTATGTAATGGCAATCTAGAGCTCCACCCTGAGCTTCAACTTGAGCTTGGGAAATTGTTTACAGCAAACGCTCAAAACGAAGATTGTCATTACAATGTTTTAAGTGTTATGTCGAATCTATTCAATGTTAGTCTTGTAGGTGCAGATTTTTTTTATCAGAACACTACCCCTAACGTAGACATCTGTTGATAACTGTAATATCCTGATTTCTGAAACATCTGAAATAAGTACATTATAGACTTTAGATGGTTGATTTCTTGATTCCCCATTGTTAACAGGAGTCAAGGAGCCAGTACAAAACGCTAAAGAAAACTCGTAAATTTCTCATTGATGGGAAAGTTGTTACTATGACAACAGAAAAGGTTGTGCAGATGGGACATGAAGAGAAGCATAGACGAGAACAAATGGCAAGGTATGTAATAATAAATGCTTTCTTCTCCTATATTTACTAGAAGTGTTGCTCCAAAAAATAAAAAAAAAATATTAAAAATTCTAATTACAATTGTAAATTATTATTATTCAAAATCAATGCTTTCCTGGTATTGCCCATCAGACATGTTTTCTTTAAGTATAACTCAGGTAAGCTGTAAAAAATAAACTTCCAATATTTATTTTAATTTATATGATGCTAAACTAAAATTTTTGATGGTATTCATGCATTTCTTTTTTGGTTATTTTACACCAGCAAATTTTCCGACTTTAACCATGAAAATCAAGCAATGAATTATTCAACGGTTTCAGTTAAATCATGCAAGCAAGCCCTGGTTAAAAAAAATGAAATATTAAACAATAATGAATTGTGTCATTGGTTAGAAGCTGTTATGTGACCTGTAATGTTTTTATTTACATTGTAGAAAACAAGATTTACGTGAATTAAAAATGATGCAGAAAGACGAGAATAAACAGTTTAACAACTTGGCATCCAAGATACTACAGTTAACTGATCAGTTACAATTAAAACAGAAAACAGATACACAGGTGAGTTTCTAAGATGATGATGCTAATCAAAATAATTTATTGAACCATGTGATTGGCAGTAACAACTTTTTTACCCCTAACTCATTCACAGAACAAAGTGATAATTTCTGAAAAGCCTCCATCAATCAGCAAATTGATTGGAATGAAAAAACTACCTCAGCAGGCAATGTGTTATCAAAGATGATATCAGCCAAAATAAAAACCAAATATCAAACATCAATGATACCAAACGAATCAACATTTTTATTTGCATAAGCCAAAAAATAAAAATAATATGACATTTCCAAACTACTTTAGAAAAAAACAAATACAATAATTAGTGGTTATGCTGTACATATTTGTCTTTTAAATCTAACTGACTTTAGTTTTAACTGTAGTCCTATAAATACAATAAATTCCATTTTATGAGAATTCCCTTCATCCTGATTATAGTGGTAACCACATGACACAGTATTGTAAGTGGTATGTAATCATGTTATCAGGGTTCATATTGAATTTTATTTATGTCTTTAAAACTATTATTAAATTAAATTGGCTTTCTATGTCTGTCCTCAGATATTGGGGCATTTATGTGGTGGTTTACAGAAATACAATTTTTGGGGGTAAAACTTCACGGTTAATTTCTGAATTATTTTTTTTTTCAAATGTTTTTGTGTCAGGCGACAGTTCCGGACATTGAATGTCGCTGTTGTCTCTCCTGACGTGTTTTCTTTTTTGTAAGTGCAAATTGCAAGTGCTAGTGCTGACACATTTTGCAATTTTGCCACAGAAGTCATTTCCTGTTCGGTACTACATGACAGGGGCTGTGTGGCCATCTCCCTATAAAATGGCGATTTTAATGCTCTACCCTGGCGTCAACCAGGCTCGATCGAACACAAGCACCTGCAGACGTTATCCAAGCTTTTCCCAAAATCGCATTCGTTAGTGAATGAATCTCGGTCAGTGGAATTGGCCTTCCCATTGAGTCTGTGGCATACTCAACACGGGTAGGGGTCGACCTAAGGTAGGTTTTGAACTTGGGTCTACCCATCATGAGTCTGATGCGACAACCACTATGTTCCCAGTAACCGGTCTGAATTTCTGAATTAGATGAAACAACTAAACTGGGTTATAACACTGATTCACGTGTGTAACATCATACATAGATAATTGCATCTAGTGACCATGAGAAACGTACTCTGAAGACCAAGGGTTTAAATTCCAGGTGTTGCCACAAGATAAAATCTGTCTCTTTTAAAAAATTGAAGAGGATTTTAAATTGTTTGCTTTCATAGTGAACAGTGACAACTGAGTGTTATTACTTAAGGCAGACTGATCTTACTGAATTAACTGCTCGACCTTAGTAAACCTGCATAGACAATGAAGAAACTATAATTTCTATTATAAAAATTGATAGATTTCAAATGGCTTTTAAACCTTTGAGTGTCAAAGCTTTGTCATCTTTCACAAAATACTGTTTAAACTTTTGAACACAAAAATCAGCATTCACAAATTAAAAATATATAATGTTTTACTCCTGTGTGTGAAGCACACAAAGGGAGCTTTTGCAGTTAGTGTGTCTTTATGTGTGTGTATGTGTCTGTCTGTTCCATTGATTTTTGATGAAACATGAGACATTGATGCTCTGGACTAATCCACAGATTTGATTTCATTTGAGTTCGAATTTGTGCATATTAATTACCTAATTTGCATAGTGATTATGCTGTTCCACTTTTATCGGCTAGTCAGATTTCAATGCACAATGGCAATGCATAAACGTGATTAGTATCAGGTTAAAATCTGTTCATATTAATTTGAACATAATAACCTAATTTGCATCAATATCTCAAGTACTTGATATCTTATTTCAATAAATCTACATAAATAGTACATAAATACTCTTGCGATGATCTAATTAGTTTTGGATTTATATACATTTTTAACAATTTGCATAATGATTTACTTTATGGCTTTCCATCAAATTACTAAGAATTAATCATCACATTATATTGAAACTTGATGCATATGCACCCGAAACAATACACAGACCTAATTAGTGTTGTGCTGAAATCTACCGACATATTCATAATTATTACCCAATTTTCTACTTATATCTTAAAAACTAATGATTGTATTTCAATAAGACTTGGTATATAAGACTTGATTACTTTTGAATTGAAATTCAAACATTCTAATTGCCATGTTTTTATAATATGCATAATCACCAAATTTCATTGAAATTTGGTTCATCAATGCTAAGGGGTAATCGTGACATGATTAGTTTGTGATTAGCATATTGATTATCTAATTACTATTTGCCAATTTCTGATATCTCATATTTAAATTGAACTTTGTGGTAGAGGTGCTCTTGAATAAATTAGACTGCAAATCACAGATGTATAATCCAATTTATTTTCTGTAAGTATCATAAACTTCAATAATTGTGCATCTCAGACAAATATCAGTTCCAAGCTGCTTGTTTAAAAGGCTAATCTTAAATTTAGCAGGAGTTCGTTCTAAGCTTTCTTCAATTCGATATTATCATTTTTTTAATTTTGATCAGAACAGGTAGCAGATGGGAGATTATGTTCATTATGAATTTTAGAAAAATGCACTAAAATTTACAAAATGTTACATCAGGAATTTGGAGAGAAAAAAGGTTAACCCAAATGTTACATGAAGGTTTAATGGGAAAAATGATGGTGATGAAAACGTTGTATGACAAAATGGATTACCAAGGTAGTTGTTGTTTTGTAGGGTTTATACTGGGTCTATTGAGCAGATTATTATCACTGACTCTGTCAACACTTAATGAACTTGTTGCTACCTTGGTTCTTCTCTTAAAGAGCATGTCACAACTCTATAAGCTTGATTAGGCTTTACTTGAGGCCAGACCAACAATAATAAATCTGTTAAATTCATTTGGGAATCAGTTGGCCAAAGTTCAAGGGCATAGTATAAAATGACCATTGTGTGATTGGCAAAGCTTTCAACTGAATAAGATTGGGATCACTTAAAGATACTAATGTAAAATACTGAAGTAGGTCCAAATTTGTAACTTCAGCCATTATGCACAATTGGTTCTCTTATATAAGACTACTAAAAAATAAATCTATCATGGTCTACATGTACCAAGATGCATACATTTTTACAATGACAATCATGGTTTGCTAAGAAGTGCATCCAAGATATAAAAAGTGATATATATATGAACCTGTTGAGTTGCATAATACAGTACGGTTATTTTATGTAGTCAGCTGTTTACTGAGCAGCTAAAAAAACAAAAACATTTGCCACCTGTTGTGGTTCATTTGGCATTGTAATCTTTGTATTATTTTCTGGAAATAAAATAAATAAAATAATTATTATTAGACTAATATGAATGAAATTGCAAGCTCTGTTTTTTTTTGTTTTTTTTTCTTATCCTTTTTTTGTTGTTGTAGAATTTAATGAAGAAGTTTGATGTTGACATAGATACGTTGAATAAAGGTCAAAAGCAACAGGTGGAACGGCTAGAAGTAGCCCAGGCATATGAGATTAAAGCGGCGGTAAAGAAGATAAAATTAGACCAGGTAAGCATGGCGTGCGTGTTCATCTTACTCCTTGGATATATGCGCCTTCAGAGCAAAGGTTTGGTTTTCTGTGTAATGAACAGGCTATAGATAATGAATTTCATGTTTTACCCGCATGTAAAAATAGTCAGATTGTACAAGCTTGTACTAAATTTGAAGCTGAATTAGCAATTTATGATGACTACATTTGCAAGTTATCAACTAAAAATAGCTTTATTGTCAATTGCTTGGCAACATTTATTTATTTTATTTATTTAGTTTAGTCTATTTTATTTTTTTTTTTCTTGACCATTGATTTATTGTATGTTTTTTTGTTATTCATACTAAATTGTATGTCAAATAAAATATCTATCCATATAAAAGTAGTGTTTTTCCATCTGTGTTGTAATTCAACAATTACATGCAGTATAGGAATGAAGAAGATTGGAATTATTCTACTTTAAAGCTAAGTACTGAAGATTTCTTACTATGCGGTGGAGTAGTTGAAATTGTAAAGGAATTATGTGACTGTTTTGAAGACTATCATTGCAGTCAGGGTTTCAAGAATGTAGCCTTTGAATTTTCTTTATTTTCAATTAATCTCTCTGTCCTTTGAAAGTCTTTGGATCTTTTGAGGTCTGGAAAGTCTTCGAGTTGTCTTTAAATTACAGGAAAAATAAAAAAATCTTTGAAAATCCTTAAATTTCTTCAGTTATTAATTCATTTTAAAAAGGCAAGTTTTCTCCAGGGAACTACCATATCTTCAGAAATTTGGTGATGATGTTGGCCTGAATTAAGGGCCAAAATGTCTTGGGGGGGGGGATGCAAGAAAGTTTGAGAAAAGGTCTGGAAAAGTCTTGGAAATCATTTGGCCCTTGGTGCTATGGATCTTATGTGATACAATGTTTGCTCTGTTAGTAGTGTATGACATGTGTCAAAATATCTTATCCAGTCATACAAGTAATGCAGTGCTTGGTTTATGTTTGCTTCTATTTAAAATAATCTTAAAGTAGAGTAAATACTGTATTTGTAATTGTTTGCAATCTCATTTCATTTTCCATGATGTCAACAACTAAAAAAAAATCACAAAAACTATGAAATACTTTTCACTGAAAAGACATTTTGGCGATTATATATATGAAGTTTATTTTCACTGATTTGTGATGAGTTGAATGTAAAATATATGATAAAGAGTATTTTTTACTGATTTATTCCTTAAGCGAAAATAAATTTCAATTGATATAAAGTATTTTACAGTAGTGTACTAAGGTTAGTTTTTATGTACATTTGCTACATGTTAAATAAGGCAGTCACCATGTAAAATTCAACCAATGCCATAACAAAGCCTCGAATTCATTACTTGTGTGGTTTGAGCCTTGCTTTTTAGGTCAGTGGGTACTTGTGTTTGATTGTGCCTGGATGATATCGCATTCATTTGGGAAAGTGCTTCAAAAACCCTGTGTATAAATGCTGAATCACAAGTGGGAAAATGCCCTGTTTTCTCACTTTATATGTAAAAAAGATAGTTTTACCACATTGCCTGCTAATATCGTCTTTTTTGGCTATCCACAGAAGCTTTTAGTAGGCGATGTCTTAACTGTAGTGTTCAACTCTAAGAGTTGTTTCTGTACATGCACCATATTTTGAATTCCAGGTGTGATCTTTTGTCCTCTTGGCTGTACTTGTATGCTGCCCTCAGTGGTGTTTGTTGGAAAGCTATTGTGTAACAGAAGCTATGAAAACTGACAGTAACGATTTTTTTTTTAGGAGCGAGAATATAAAGACTTTCGTGACATAATGAAGAAGGAGTCAAAGGAACTGAAAGCTAAGTCTGGAGGTATTGGTAAGGACAGCAAACGAAAAAAAGAAGAAATAGATATGATGTTGCAAGACAAAGAGAGAGAGTTTTTGGGGAAACAACAAAATAAAATGGAGGTAGCTATTAAAAATATGTCTGAAATACACAAGGCAAAGATTGCAGCGCTAGAAAAGAGAATTCTTGCTGATAAACACCAACTACTTAGAGGTAAGTGTTAGCCCACTTCTAGCAGTTGTAATTATGTATTGTGTGGTTTATTCGCTAGCATTCTCTTGGTTAAAAAATTGGGAGCTTGGTTTTGTTTTGGTAGACTGTTTGTCTGCATGGAAACAAGGACATGTACTTCTTCAAAATTGCTTTTCTATTTACATTTTATCACTGACTTTATGTCACTCCACACAGTATCAAGATGTGCTATCATACAATTGTTGAAACCCCTCTTCACTTTATCACTGGTACTTTTAATATCAAACTGAAGGGTCTCATCTATTAGACTACATACTTTCATAAACAAACAAAGCCAGCTAACTAGAAGGATCTGAAGGTCTTGTGTTCACACCAGAATTTCCTACAAGAGGTGTAAATATGGCGACCACTAGACCACACAATTGTTCTGACTCGTAGATAGACAATGTTTCGTTGACCATATATTTCTTTCTTTTTCTTAATCAAGCAATTATAGTTAACAATACTGGATCGTGTAAAATGTCATAATATACATGCATATAAAACTTATTTTAATTCTGTGTTGATACAAATCGGTATATTTTTAGTTCACATATACTGATCAAAATAACAACCTAAACTGACTTAAAATTTGACACACATTGCAGCCTGCCTGCTTTAAAATAAGATAAACTTAAAATACAGTTGACTGTGGCACTCACATTCACTTTTGGATGCCAATGTACTTACAACACCCTATGCGAATGGTTGCAGGGCTTGTCTCCATATTTATGACTCACTACCTAACATGCTCTCATCTGATTTTACATTGATGTAACTATTATTTAATAGTTACTCTGGTGCTGATACCCATCTTTAAGAGAGGTTTAAACTCCATCATTTTTAAATATCCTTACATTGGTGTAACAAGTTCACACGTATTTTTTATGTTGACGTAAAGGCACACAAAAAACAGATATGCACAAAGTATTAGGGACGATAAAAAACTTAATTCCTTTAGTTTTTTTCCAAACCCCCCCTACCCCCCACTGAAACTTAATTGATAAATATTGGTCATGGCGCAAGACTACATTCACCATTAAATACAAATTGATAATCGAACAGTAGTATTGCATAGCAGTTGGTTGTCAGGTGGGTGTAAAAAGATTTTACAAATGCATCTCATTTGACGCACAGATTTACACTCGAACCAAACAATTTTTCTGTTTTTTCCCTTTTCGGTTATTTCTGTCCATGATTGGATGGAAAAAAAACGAATTACAAATACTCCAAGATTTTTTTGACTTCATTAAAAAATAAAATCGTTTTGTAGGATGGAAACTTTTTGAGGTCAAAACCCCCCACCCCCAAACTAAAGGAAATAAGTTTTTTATCCGACATCGATCTTTTGACGTCGTCCCTCAGTGAAGTCTACTGTTCACAATTTTAGGAGGCCCACTTTTTTTTCATATTGGTCAGTGGACAGTCACAGACTTGCAAAATAGGATTGCAGCCATTGTGTATCCTACTTCGACAACTGTATTTACTATCCACATTATTCCTTACCGTAGCTCGTGAGTCGGCAATCTGGGAAATGGAAGAAAAACAAATGCATGAAAAACATCAGCAAAATAAAAAGCAACTCAAGGATATGTTCCTTCTGCAACGACATCATATGCTGGCTAGACAGGAAAAGGTGAGTAAAAAACACTGCTCTCTACAGTGATTTTTTTTTAGTTCCATTGGGGGCGCTGTTTATGGATTTATCCAAAAAAAGCATGGAGCAATATTCATTCATGGATTGCACATTTCTAACTTCTCAATTAAAATTGTCATAGTATAAAAATTTTTTCAAACACTTATTTAACTCTTAGGGGAGAGTAGGAAATCAAACGGGTGGTGCACCAAGGTTATTACCGCAGTGGTGGTGGTGGGTGCTCGTCGGTCGACCACATTTTATGCAAATTTATGCAGATTCCATGACGCCGCCTGACCGCGGTCATCTGCGGTTGGCTCGCACAGCAATTCACACTTATTGTCAAGACCATTAATGAACACAAAGAACTGGGAAATTAAAAGGATCACAAAGTTCCAATAAAAAATTAAACCAATTTTGCTGAGCCAAAAGCTTGGAAACTAGTTTATGATTGACATTATTTTATTTGCCTGAGCCTTGGAATAAAATAACAAAACAATCAAGAACATGCACTAAGAAGGAAAGGCAAGCCAAAGTCGAAACGAGGTGTAGTATGGACTTGGTACAACATGCACTGCGACAATTGAGTGATCGTCGACATCATTTTTGGGCACAATTGAACTTCAAGTACTTTGTGAAATTTGCTACGCGGCGATGCTGACATCAAGTGTGTGTTGACCGAAGTTTGCACCCCAAGTCACGCACAGAAATAAATGAACAATATGCAACATTAGAAGTAAAACAAAATTAATGTATTGCTTATACAAATAAACGAGAAATAATAAAAATCGACAGTGAGGAATCATTTGAATTAGAATTTTCCCGCCGACAAACATGCCCAATACGTGTGAACTCAAAGTGAATTAAAATGTCAGGGGTTAAACTGCGTAAAATGATTTCAGGTTTTGACAAATTACGAATCAACTGTCATATAAAATCAATAATAATTTACAAATTTACACAGTAAAAATTATAAAAATGAATAGCTGTTTGAAAAAACTTCTCAGATCTTTATTTGTACGTTCATTGCCATCTTTGTCGAACTCAAAACCCTCAAGTTCAAGCCGGCATGACTGTAGCCGTCGAAACAAAATCTCTACAACTTCTTCCTGAAGTTCGTCGATATCGTCCCACACAATTTGAACTTACCGGTAGCACTTTTAATCTACAATAAAGAGACAAGAAAAATGGGGTCGCACTGCTGCGATGGCTCACGATGCTTTAGTTTATAGTCTGGCAATCATCTTTGACCTTTATGCATCTGCTTTACTGATTGGCTAAGAATGACATCACTACTAGTATTTCATCATAAAGGTCAAATCATGACATTGCTTTCTTATCAGACTCGACGCTTATTAATCACGGTGAAAGTTATCATTCAGCAAGTTCCGGCGGTTGGAATGTCTCAATATATGGATATCGCGGTGGACTTGAAATAGGAAGTTTTTTTTTATTCAATGACAGAAGAATAGTTTTCATGACAGAAATGCAATAGCGGTGATGAAAGATGGTAAAAAAGTTGGCAGTCTTCGGCGTGACCTTGCAAAATTGCTGGCCCTAGTTATGGATTTGCAAGCCACTACCAAATATTTTATAAAGCCAAAATAACAGGATTTCAACCACTCTCCCAGGTACGGGTTGCTACAATGTTGCAACATTGGTTTCATTGTTGATGACGCTAAAGCCGGACGAGTGCAACACTTGCGTAGCAGCTCTCCTTATACAATTTGCTTGAATCGTTTCTAAGGAAGCACAAACCAAACGGCAGGCCTTTTTAGAGCCACGACATATTTCAAAAAGAGAACTACCGTTTCTGCTTTAATATATATTTTTATAGACTTGCTGACTGTTATGATTCTGAAAAAAAATCAGCGGTGAACATGGGCTCTTACCCGGATAAGTGCGGTATATCCGGCGGTACTGTAATAACACAACTTGTATCCAACTCTGTATTGGCTTTGAATATTTCAACATCGTTTACTTAGTGTGCTGCTTTTCTTATAACGCAAATATGTTTACAGTATTGCACAGGCTCTAAATATTTCAACTTTGCAATGTATTGCTTTTATAATAATTACGCAAACTAAGTTATTTTTATTATTTTTAGGACACTAGCCCGGGCTATTGGGTCTGTGAATATTTCAATATTATCGACTTGATAATGCATTGCATTCGTAATTATTACGCAAATATAAACATGGGCGCATTTGAATCATTGAAAAGGATAGTCAGGTTCTGGAGTCAGTTGTCGAGAAAATATTTTAATTACTTGTGATTCATCGGTGAATTGTTTTATTCGAAATAAAGTGAATATGTAATATTAACCATACAATAATATACAATATCATGCGTAATGTTAAATTTTTCTATAATAAGCTCACAGCGCACTTTGATCGCATTATTCGCGTACATTTCGATTGACCACGTGTTTGAATTGTGTGCGGCAATGGGCAATGACCTCAATGAGTTCGCGCACTGACATTTGACGCAAAACTATATAGTTACTTAACATTTGTTCAAAAAATCTGTAAACTCTCACAAATACCATGAACGCAAAGAGTTAACTGAAAGGCAACATCGTTTTTGACAAAAAAAAAACACATCAATACAAAATTATTATGTGTGCAAGGTTAGATTCATAGAACGTACATGATCGCTTAACTGTTTGTTTTTTTAATAATCATGTCGCACATGAAACACAGGCGGCATTTTAGTTCATCCACTTCTTGTTTACCGATCTTGAACTTTTTGTCTGGAATGTGATACAGGCAAAGAATAAACATGAATTATACCTACGCATCGTTGTCAAATCAACAAGAGGCTTGAATCAGGAAGGCTCGGCTATTTAAAACTTCGTAAATAGCATTCTTTTCAAGTGGTAGACTTTATTCAAGTGTAATAAATGTAAGTGAAATGTATGGACGACTTTTACGATTGGAATTGGTGATAAATACATGCATAAAATACAACATATACCATTGTATCACGCAACAACAATTCGTATACAGCATTGGACTTATGGATTTTTATATTAATAAAATACATGGGCCGATAATATTCCCATATGCTTAGTATTTCCATGCCAGCGATGCTCGTAACCTGCTTGATTTAAAAACAGTTATTTGAAACAAAGACTCGTGGAATAACATAGGAAACTGTTAAGTACGTATTTCACACCTTTCCTACGACCGCGGTTGAAACCGGTACCGGTGGCCACCGCGGTAGAGACCCCTAATTATAAGCAGTCCGCGGCTCTCCCCAGTGTACCGCGGAGAGCCGCGGTGATTACCGCGTTGAACCGCCCGTTTGATTTCATACTCTCCCCTATGATGGATGAAGTTTTTTCAGTGGGGGAAAGCTAGTAAGAAAAGGGGACAGCATTCTTTTGAAAGGGAAGACTCTTGTGTGTTTGGCATTGGCAATAACAATTGTCAATACCTGTATAATTTTTCTGAACAAAAACCGAAGTTAAGGTTTTAAGCAGTGAGAGAAATCAATGCTTATATTAAGTGAGTCACAGAGGGCAGGCTTCATTCTCAGCTCATTATTTATATATTTCTTGTAGGAAGTAGAACAAGTGAAAAGGCTGCATGACAAAGAGGAGACTGAGCTACTATTCAAGCAATCACAGCAGAAGAAAAGGCTGCCCAAAATACAGAAAACAGAAGCAAAAACAAGATCGGCTATTTACAGAAAGAGTTTAAAAATTGGCAATGCTATGAGCCAGGAACAAGAAAGAGAAAAATTAAAACAAGTATGTTATGAGTCTTGGACTGATTTGTGTCACATCTACAATATCTGTATACTGATATCTGTCTCAACTGAATACTCCTTTAGTATGAGAAATATTGCTGTTTATATTGAATTGTACAATGCAATGGCAGTTTGGAAAGAAATATCATGTTGAGTCAAACAGAATTCATCACAATCTGGATTAGAATGTTAATATTAAATTTCCAGTTATTATCGCTATGTTATTGTTTTTGACAATTTTATCTATGTTGTTGACAATTATGATCAGTAGACAGAGAATTATTTCCTCGTCATCTTTGTGTTCTGCCACTTCATGTTTGATATTTTCCAATTCATTGATTCAATTTGTTACCTCCATTGTCGATTTTGTCAGTAGAGCTTATCATATAAGTGATTGTCCATCAGTACCTCGGGTAGACCTCTCTCAGATTTGTTCATTTTCTAACGATATCTTCAGTTCTTTAATTAAAATCTGCCTTGCTAACAGCGGAGCTATCTTTTTAAATTCTCATTTCATCTACTTGACTCTTTATATGTTTGTTCAGTTTCAAGCTACTGAGACCAAGAGATATAAAGCAGAGCAACTCAAACTTGAGATGAAACATGCCAGACAGCTTGAAGAATTAAGAAATGGTCATGAAGCTATAATGCAAGAACTACTACAAATACATGTGAGTAAAATCTGCTTCTGTTTACCTCAATTTCACACCACCATTGTAATATGGGCCAATAGGTTATTGCGCCCTCTATGGCCACACAAGAGAATAGGTAATATCTACCACAGAGGGTGTCCTACTATTTTCAACAATCCAACAATGTTTTGCATACAATACACAGATTATTCAAAATGTTGATATTTTGTTCTGTTTAGAGATAAGTCTTAAAACATTACCAATTATATGTGTGGTGTTTTCTAGTGATCAAGTGACTGTTAACCTGTGTGGTTACCCACAGAACAAAATGCTTATTTGGTAAAAATGAAAACCGAGAAAAAAATGTAATTAGTACTCCACCGTCAATTTCATTGAATGCTGTTGAAAGTTGCAGAGTTAAAATTATGTGGCTGTGTTACCCTATACGTTCACCTCTAAAATTGAGCTTTGCATATACTGTAAAGGGGGTAATTATTCACTGGGTTTTAATTTAGCTTATTTCGCTGACTGGAAAAATGCGCTAAATTAAAACACAGTGAATATGTAAAATTTAGCATAGAACACATTATCTAAATGACGAAACCGTGAATTTAAAACCCACTGAATATGCCCGAAATGGTAAATCAGTGAAATTTAAACCCAGTGAAAATTAGTGATTTTACAGTAGTAGCTTACTCTTAATAATTGTCATTTGTTTCCAGAATGAAAAACGCAAACAGCTGATGGAGCTTGAAACACAAAAACTGAAAGAGAAAGATGAACAACATATCAAAGAGATCAAAGAGTGGAGAGAACATCTGAAACCTAGAAAGAAGGTAAGATTGAGTACTTATGTCAGTCAAAAAGTGAGAAGTTTAAAACTACATACTGTAAAACCATTTATTTTCACTGACATATAATTTCCCTATTTTGATGTTTTGAGCATGTTCACTGTGTTTTAATTTCATGAATTTGTCAAGGAAATAATGTGTTTTATTGTTATTTTATATGTTCATGTAGATTTAATTTAGCGGATTTTACTTGCATGTATCGGTGAAAATAACAAAATTAAAAATTTAATTGTAAATGCATTAATTACCATATTTACTCTAGCAGTGGTACATAAACTACTAGTACCATGGACTCATTTATGTAATCTGCTTCACTGTAAATAGAGCTAATACACTACTGGTCAAAGGTTATATTGACTATATACCTTCTATAATCTTTTATTTTCACATCATTTTTTATTGAAGTTGGCTACAAAAGATCATGTGAAGCTAAAAACCAGTTAAATCATTGTGAGATATGGTCAAACATATTTCATCAAATCGCGTTATTTCCTTGCAGCAAAAATTAAACGCTTTACAGTACATATCCACTATAATTCATTCAAAACAAAGGTGATCATCATGTCTGAGTCAGCATATGCATTCAACACCTTGAATGCTAGATAGAGAGAACCTGTACATTTTGTCACTGTTAGATCAAAAACCTGGCCTATGTTGAGTTATTTGCAACTAGGAATATCATAGTACTGATTGTATGACGAAATTGATCATGATTACATATGCATATGTCTGATCTGTACTTCTGTTCACTTGTATATATTTGCTTTAACTTATACATCCATATATTTTTGTATTTTAATATCAGTTATTGGAAGAGGAGTTCCGCAAGCAGTCACTGGAGCAAGAAAGGTTTTATTCGCGGCGTGGCAGTAGTCGAAGTTTACAAGCAGGTAATGGTATCGAGAATTCTAAATCCATAGCTCAGGGACAACGCAGTTCTTCATCGGCTTCTTCAACTCCATCAGAAGAAATGTTACCACCATTCTTACAAGAAAACAGTATTCCGTAAAATCTGGTTAGAAAACAAATTGGACAATATATTATTGTATTTGAAAAAAAAAAAACATATTTGTGAGTGACGAAACACCACGAGTATCAGGATTTTTTTACACTGTCAGTTTGGAGATCATATTTCCTCTATTAAAAGCACATGTATTAAAGATGTCACTTTGCATTGAACATTTCTTTGGATTCTTAACACACCACTTGCTGAACGCCTCCTCAGATAGTCGATATAAATGGTATTATAACGACATAAGCAACTCTACTGAATTGGCATTTTTATCCCCAGTATAATAACCATTATTGTACAACCACCACTGGAATACAATACAATTTAGCATTCTGTTGATATGTACAAGTTTATCCCATGTGGTGGTTATATTAGACCCTACACAATGAAAATCAGTACAGCTTTTGTAAACAGCTCCTACCAAATTCCAATCAAGTGGTATTTCAGTGATGTTTAGGTCACATACAAATTGTATATATGTGACTATGAATATTACAGCAGTTATTTTATGCTATAATTATGTTAAACAATTGCATACATGTAGATATTTTGTTATAGAAAGGTGAAAACATTCTATACACTATAATCTATAAAAATAATCCTTGTGGCCAGGTAAGCTATCAAGGCTCAAAGTTGAAGCGACCCATCCATGTGTTTCTGATAGAGCAAATATGGTATACATACAGTTGAAAAGGAGACTAAAATTAACACATTTCTAACCTGTTCATCTTCATTATATGTAACCATAGGCTCCATAGGAAATGAGTGTGTGGTGTAACTTACCAATAAATATAAAATACCAACTCTGTTCATTGAGTAATAGACATTACAGACAATGCTGGCTTCTGATGTTGACAAATTGGTATTCTGCAACAAGATTTTGGAATAAAATTATATTAATTTAACGGTGTTTTGAAAGAAATCAAATTTCAAAATTCTTAGGTAATTTTTGTCAATATTTATATGTACAATATCCATACTGCTGAAATGACTACCAGGTTCTCTCACACTTTCATCATTCAGTTTTACAGTACTCCTACCACTATGATTTCATTTCAATCATGTGAATGTTGTTAAAATTCAGCACATTTGAATTTCGTGCTTGTTGGCTTCACTTATCTAAGGCCAAATTCTTTTTTTTTTAAAGTGTTTTTCGGTGACCAGACCTTGCTTAAGATTTTGCATTTTCACCCTGTATTGTTTTTTTACGGCTGAACTAAAAAGTTGCCACTTGTGTCCCATTACTAGTTGCATGCTGACATATTTTTCACACAAAATTGTCATATATTATAAAATTTCATAAAATGTATGAAAGTATGGGGCAATATTCCTAGAAGCATCTTGTTTACATCAAGATAATTAATTATAATAGAAAAATATGACACAATAAAAATCAATTCTGTCTACCCTACCTTATTTTTGTTTATAATGTTACCAAAAACACTATTTTTATTTTGGCCTGATCCTAAGCTTTGCAAATTTATTTGTATCACTCAAAAGTTTCTATATTGTAAGCAGAACAAACTGTCACATATGAAGCTTAAAAATTTCTAGGCAAAAAAATAATGTATTTGCAATTTTGTTATTTCTGTTGATAATACCTGGATACCAGTGTGTATTACCAGTATTCTGTGATGTTTTGAAAACTTTAATTTTCAATCAAAACATTTTTTTTAAAAGAAATTAACATTAGATTGAACATTTTGCCAAGTAATAGTTGTATATAGTAACCATATCATCAACACTTCATATGACAAACAATGTTATGTATGTAAAAGCACATTTTGAGCAAATTTTGAAAGTGTTTATTTCAATACAGTCACAAACTTACCTCACTATAGTCCAAAGTAAATCCCTATTTTGAAATTTCGTGATTGAGAACAAATTTCTTGGTTATTTTTGGCTGCGAGAATAACAAAATTTTATAATCATGTATGTATCTTTTTTGTTGCACTAAAATTGGAAACTAGATCTGCCATTTTGTAATTTTGAAACTAAAGTTTATAAACAAAAAATTTGTGTATAGTCTCAATGAATTGTTATGCTATATGAAACGGTTTTCTGGAAAATACAGTAAATGGATTTATTATTCAGTTAGTTTTTGTTTAAACAAATCACCAAGAAAAAAAAAATTAATGGGTGGTGTAAATATTGTTTTGTGTGTATTATGATTGTTAGTGGCAAGATTTTGGTAAGTTACTTCACTAGAACAGATTTTAGCTGGTAGCAACTCACCACCCCTTGCTCAAGACAATTTCTTTGCAGATTGTTCCATTTACATGAAGGTGAGGCAATGTCAAATAGTTCATGGTTGATGTAGGAAGCCGAATTGCCATTCAGTTCTGAATATTTTATACATTTGTGTGCACATAACAGTTCAATTTCACAATAACACTGGCATTGAGGCCAGTTTTCCACTCCTCATTCTTATTGCGCAAACAGCTTTTCATAAAATTCAGTTTAATTATTACCCTTCTTGGAGTGGGTGGGGTGGGGGTGAAATGCAGTGTTTTTCACGATAGACTTACAGACGAGTTGAAACGTATACACAAGACGGAATTTGATACATTGTCAACAAACAAGTTGCACTCTGATTGGTCTAACAGTTAGCCAATCAGGCACAATCTTATAAGTAGCTTTGCATTGATTCTATATTTAATGTACACGTCAAAGATGTGCACATTTGTGTAAACATGGGCCACCAAGTGTGCTCAACTGTCGATATTTGATTTGGGATAATTTTATTCCTTTTACATGTAATATCTGGCAAATAGGACTAAATATAATATTGTAGGAGACATATTTACTGTGTTCAATTTTAGTGTATACATCTTAGTGTATGTATTTTCAGTGTATCCAATAGACCATTTTCCGTTCACTGTAAGATCCCATGTTATGTGTGAAATCGAACATAAAAACAGTACAAATAAAGGTTGTAGTGGCGACAAACATCGCATGGGATTCGACAAACGTCAAAGTATTTTGAGAGATATTTCCACGCTTAATAATGTACACATTTGATGATGGTAAATTTTGATGAAGTAAGGATATTAAAATGCAATAATCCCCTGTCAATGATTGTTCTTTCAGTGCGAGCTACGAAATAAAGAAATTCAAGTTCAAAATCAAACCGTCCGATTTTTGCGCTAATTGTTTGGTACATACAATCTTGCAGTTGAACGGAAAATCACCTATTTTAGTGAAGTTGATTTGCCAGGTATATTCACAAGGTTTTTATTCAGTGTATCCATTTCTCTGAAATTACTCTGCTGATAAAAAATGTTTCACATGCCCACCCTGAAAAGACTCCCTTTGAATGCTATGAAGTGAATATTGTAGGTCCCAGTCAAAATTACAAGTGAATTGTTGGTGACACAGTCTGTGGTAATGAGTTTACCATATTTGCTTTATTAGAAGCGCTTGTAAACTAACAGTTACAATATTGAAGATGAATTTATTTTGACCTGTCATTCATTTAAGTACATGCACTTCTCAAGGAGAAAATATGGTATTGCTTTGTGCAGATTGAAGGAGCATTGGCTGCCACGAGACAAAAAAAAACGATTCAGCCTTTTCCCTGATTGAGTCGACAGGCGATGCACGATTGTATGATGTGTTCTATGCAAAATATCTGTAGATAACTATAGTATTTGTTTCTTTGATGTATGATGCACACAATCAGACTAGGGCTTAAAATGCAAGTGTATATTGACAGAGGAAACAAAAAATTTAATATTTATACAGAATGGCAAATTGTTCTAATTCAAAAATGTTTGTAAATTAATCACAAATACCAATAAAACGGTAAACTGAATTCCTAGAATATTTTGGAGTATAACGAACAGGGCCACAATGTATGTGTATAATTTTTTTTTTTAATGTGTTAATGAAAGTTGAATTTCATTTTCATAAAGGAAATAGTCGGATTACATTTACCTATAGCTAATGGTATGTATGATCTATTTATTCTATAACTATGTTTATGCTATACTTGACTGCAGGGAACTGTTTTATTCTCTCCCATGTATTTGGTTTACATATATAATAAGAAATAAATAAGCTAATTTGCTGATATGATCCTGTTTTCTGTGTTATTAACAGTGTTGTTGGAGTTTGAAAAATCATTGTACCAGTGTCTTTTTGTAGCTCCGCTGTCGACACAGCGGAGCTGTTCTTGTTACTGATTGTCCATCGTCATCAACTTTACAATTTCAACTTCATCTTCGAAACCACAAGTCAGAATGTTTTCAAATTTTATATGAGAGTACCTTGGATAGTTCTTTCTCGGATTTGTTCATATCATGTCAAAATCTCAAATTCTCTATTTTTGGTGAATATTTTAGTAATTTTTCGTAAAAAGTGATAATTTCGACTTCTTGTTAAAAAACGCAAGTCCAATTGCTTTGATATTACATATATAGATACTACATGTGGACCTTTCTCAGATTTATTCATTTTGTGATATCTCAAATTCTCTATTTTTGGTGAATATTTTTCGTAAAAAGTGATATTTTCGACTTCTTGTTAAAAAACGCAAGTCCAATTGCTTTGATATTACATATATAGATACTACATGTGGACTTTTCTAAGATTTGTTCATTTTCTAATATCTTCAGTTCTTTAATTGAAACAGCAGAGCTGACAGGCTGCTTGTTTGACTATTTTCTCATTAATTCAATATGTATAGACTACACCACACGTGATTGAATGCATGTATTAGTATAGGTAATCGCATTGTGATGTTGTATGTTTACATTTTTGTCAACCAGCATATGAATATGCGTTAACAAATGTCACTCGCTGATCAACACAGGTTTGTGATTTTCTGCGATAACGTTGTGTTATTAACAGAAAGACATGCATGTATATTTAAATACAGCAGCAAACAATACTGTTATTTTATCTTTGAGTGCTAACCAGTTACTACACACATGCAAAAGGTAAACAAGTGTGATGGTCTATACCGAATAGCTCAGAAGTAGTATTATTGTGAATCTGACCTTACACCATGCAATATAGACTTGTGAGAAAAAGTATACCTTGGATATTTAATGAGCAAATAGATCTTTCATATTTATGTAAATTAACCTCTGTTTAGTGCCTTAGTGCAACTAATTGCTGAATTCTTCCGATTTAGATGTCAGTAACTGCAATTTATTACATAGTTGTGGACAGCATCTTGTAAGACGCTAACTCGTGCATACTGAACAAAAGAAAAATCAAATCTGAACACTCGAGGGCAGTATATGCATAATGGCAAATTTTAATGCTATAGAACAGTTAATTGAAATCATTTTTGACAACTGCAAAATATTTAATGTGACATTCACCTAAAAAGATTATAACAGTAATTATTAGAAATCTGTGATATTTATACTTCATACATTTATTTAAATTTAATCAAACTATGATAAATATATTCTATAATAAAATTTTGTAGCTCGTCAATAGTTTCTATCACACTCACAAGACACGTTTTTGCAAAATGTACCAGCTATTTTAAACGATCTTACAGCAACACAGTTATGCAGCAATTAGGTTAAGATTTTGTGTAAAGGCACATTATATACGCCACATGGGACTTATCTTCGCTAGCCAAGGTCTAAGTTTATTCGGCCAAGCCTCTAAATGAACCTTGGCAGAACGACCATCAAATGTGTGTATTCTAACAGCGCCCCCAGTAGTCAGTTGCGGCTAATCATTGTCCAATCAGTTTGCGTGTTACAAATCATTCTTTGGCGTTTCATTTTAAACAAAATGGTGGCGCCCATGAATCGTGATATTTGCAATCAACGCAGTTTTGTGTGGGAAGGATGTCTTCATAGCGACAAAAACAGGAAGTGAAATTTTGTTTTATAATTTAGTACGTCCAAGCTGATTGGGTGTCTTGTTTCGAGGCGCGCCCAATTAGATCTCACTGTTAAGATATGCAGTTAGCCTATGCGATCCTGCACGGTATCGTGTAGAGGCCTATAGATCGAAGACACAGGACCGTGCGATTCCGATGGGGACTTATTTAAAACAATACTTTGCGACAACTGTGGAGTTTTGTATCCTTGGTCTAGGATTGTGCAAATTAACTTAGTCTCAACAGCTTTCACAGGAAGTCAGCATATGACCTAGAAATTAGTCTTATCCAAATAATTAGTCCCAGATCCAATCCTGCCAGATTCAATAATTAAAAATTTTTTAACAAAATGTCTGTCTAGGCATCTTCCAGAGCAGGCATGAATTGATAATGTAACATTTAATTTCATGATTGGATTCTTTGATAATTGTCTGGTGTCTATTTCACCAATTTTAGAACCTTGATATCCATGGTTCCTGTGGAAATAAACAATTCTCGTCTTGGTTTTTCATGGAAATATACTGATTATAAGTTTATTATTGTTTTGAAATATTTTTAAAAAACTGGGTATAAAAATATTCAACTACCGGTAATTAAAAACTGTTCCAAAAATAAGAAATTGTTCAGAGTAATTGTCGCAATTTCGTTGGTAGTTAAGATAGTACAGTGTGATCATACTAGATTGGCTCTTCCAGCAGTTATCTGTTCTATTCTCTCTTTTATTATCTTCACCCAGTCTTCCCCATCTTTCAAGAGTAAGTATTTTGTTGGCATGCTTTCCAGAGCTTCAACTTCAGGAGTTGGTTGGGGAGTAAGTCCAGCTTCTAAAACAGCTTCTGGGAACTTTGCTGGTGAAGCGGTTGCTAAGCAGACACTGGGCATAGATTCATCACTTGTCACCCTGCAAATATCCACAAATTACATGTATAAATTTAAAGATTAATTGATCATTTTAACATGATTTAAAATCCGACTGAAACAAAAAATAGTGGCTTACACATGCTTCTGTTTTAAATGTGGTTTTAAATGTATCTTTTGATTCACAAGATATCAGGGTCAGAAGTTGTTTGGAAATGAACAGGCATTTATATTGTCATTCCGTTCATCAAACTCTAAGTGAAATTGACATTTCTAATATGGCCTCCATAACTAATCAAAATTTGATGTGAAGCAACCCCCCCGTAGGATTTGTTTGATGAACCCCTGCCTTTTATATTTCCTGTTCTATTCCTTAATATCATACAAGAAGTTGTATCATCCATTGCCAATACATCAAAGCGAGCACCAAACATGTACTTCTTAGGGATTTGAAAACCTCACTGAACGATGGGATTTTAGACTGACAAAATACAAACATAAATCAGTCGGTTCCTACATGCATAATTCTAGAGCATTTGGTACAATAACTGCCTAGTACTGCATATTTCTGCTGACTAAAAGCGAATCTATGTTGATACAACATGGTGACTAAGCAACCAGGGAACCCAAAACTATTTCTATTTATGCAGACACCCTTTACAGTAAAATGTGTTATTTTTATTTGGAATTTATTTCTGCTGAAGGGCTGATTCAGTGAAAACAAAGTCTAGTGAATATACCTGTTTTTCTTAAACTTTACATTCAAATAATCAAAAATCAGTAAAAATGAACTCCATACAAAACGTCCAAAAAGTCTTTTCAGCGAAAATGAATTCCACCTAAAAGAAAGTATTTCACAGTATACAATGGACTATTTCAATACATTTCATTTTTACCTCTTGTCATAGAAATATGTCACAGCTACAGCTGTATGAGGACACAGTAAATACTGGTTGTCATGCCAACATTTCTTCATGGTTGCTAGGATACCAGGATCATTCACAGTATAAGAAGTAATGACAGAATTCATCTGTAAATTAGAAAAAAATAGTTGATGAGCTAACCTATGTTATAAATAAAATCATGAACAATCATAACTTACAATGTACATGAATATTAAAGTTGTTATTGTCTTCTACAGTTTTTCAGCTGCTAGAAAAAACAAATCAAGCCTAGTCAAGGGCGGTGAGAAAACATGCTTGGGTACAATATGAGAGAAGAAATGTTAAAACCCATCTATTTTTCTTATTTGGTAAAATAAGTCATTAGTAATATTGTATTCAGAAATAAAAAACCACTCAAACTCATATAGTTTTGGTGCTCAATCCGCTCTTCATAACAAATAGATAGGGTATGATGATGGGTCTCCAGGCGACACATGTGTCTGACAATTTTTCATTCAATAATTGTACCATTGTTTACATGTACCATGCTCTTCTTCTTTACAAGACAAGGTAAATGTCATGTTAAATTATTTAAAAACATAATTCACTAATCTGTGTTCACTATCGACTGTTTGAAACTATCACTATCAAATCCAGACACTTCAATAATCATTGCTGTGCAACCACTCTTTATGATGCAACATTGTTTTTATGGTCACATGACTGACAAAATAAAATACCAGCAATAAAAAAACTATATCCCATTGCAGTACTACAGCTAATCCATGCAATCCTAAACACCAGCTCACTCGGCTAACTTAGATTTTGAACAATGTTTGTACTGCTGATGTCAGGGTGTGAGCATTTGAAATATAGGCTTTACCTTAATTGGTCTTCCTCTATTTATCCAATACATATCAAATTGGTAAACAAATTATATCCATTTTGTGTGTATTATATGCATTATGTATATAATTCTATTTATTATTATTCCACTAATATCTAGTTGCCCCTAGAAACCAGTGTGTGTAACTGTCACACTTGCATTTACATCACTGATCTAACAATTTTTAATACATGGCATTGGTCTATTCTTAGTGATAATTACGTTATGCTAAATTTACTCATCTTTAAATCATATTGTGGATGCATGATTTGGTGAGTTGATGACACGCAAAGATGCTGTAAATTACAAAAGAATGTACAGTTACTATTTATTAATTTTTAACTATCGGCAAGAAGCTTTTCATCCGGACATCTAGTGAATATCCTGACTACTACATATAGTACTTTATATGTAATTGACTTTCAATGAAATATAGGCAATGATTTAGACTAACATTGTGACCATTAATACTGAAATTTCTCAAATTCTAAACTTACTTTTTGCAGAAGATCTTGGGAGATCATAAATTTTCCCTCTTTTTGAAATTGTTTCATAAGTTTTGAAACCAATTGTGTATCTTTGTTTGAAAACAGCCAGATCATTCTCTGCAAATTATACGGAACCTGGAAAAATAATCAAAGAAAGCTTAGAGTATTAGAGACACAGTAAAATTTAATTCAACATTACTTGTACTTGAGATATTGATGAAAAGCTGCAAACTAATTATGCAAATCATAAAATTAAAATAAACAGATTTTAGTGTGAAACTAATAGGGTCTGCACAATGTAACAGACCATCTATGTATCAGGTTTCATTGAAATGTGATCAGAACCAAAAAATTATGAATTATTATGCTAATTAGGGAATTAATATGGACAGATTTTAACCCAAAACTAATCATATTTGTACATTGTCCTAGAGCATCTATGTACAAAGTTTCATTGAAATGTGATGATTAGTACTTGAGATATCAGTGTGAAAATTGGTTAATTATTCAAATTAGGTGATTAATACACATAAATATACACCAACATCTAATTGGCTCTCTGCACAGTTTAGATTCATGTAAAGGTGATGATTAGTACTTGAGATATCAGTGAAAAAGCTGAAAATTAAATAATTATGCAAATTAGGTAATTAGAATGCACAATAATTACCCCAAAACTAATCAGTACTCTGCATAGTCCTAGAGGACCTATGTACATAGTTTTATTGAAATGTGATGATTAGTATTTGAGATATACGTGAAAATCCTAATTAACTAATTATACAAATTTGGTGATTAATATGCACAAATATTTATCCTAAAACAATCTACCTCTGCATAGTCCTTGAGTATCTATGTACCCTGTTTCATTGAAATGTAATGCTTACTACTTGAAATATCATAAGCTGAAAATTAATTTATTATGCAAATTAGGTGATTAATATGTACTGATATTACCCTAAAAACTACCATGTCTGTGCAGTATCCTATGACATCTAGGTACCAAGTTTCAGTGAAATGTGATTATTAGTAGTTGAGATATCAGTGAAAAAGCTAATTTACTAATCATTATGCAAATTAGGTAATTAATATCCACAGATTTTCACCCCAAACTAATCAAAACCTGGCATTAGTTCAGAGCACCAAGTTTAATCAAAATTCAATGAGTGGTTGTTTAGATATCAGTGGAACAGTCATGGAACAGCTAAAAATTAGCTAAATATCATGCAAATTAAGTAATTAATATTCACGAATTTTTACCAAAAACTAATCAAATCTGCGCATTGGCCCAGAGCATCTATGCACCAAGTTTCATCAAAAACCGATGTATGGTTCTTGAGATAGCAGTGGAACAGTCGGACACACATACACACACCCATACACACACACATACAGACACACTAACTGCAAAGACTCCCATTGTGTGCTTCGCACAAGGGAGTCAAAATTAAAAGCACAATAATCATTCTAAGAGTGGGGATTTTGAGGAAAACGTTTCGCAATTGTTTGATACATTGCAACAAATTTCAAGTTTTAGGAATCCATGTGAAATGGTCACTTTTACAAAATCTCACAGTATCACCTACTCATGAAATCAAAGCATTTCACAGTAACCCATAATGTCTAAGTTTTCAGAATGCCAGAAATTCTTGATCTTTGTTGTTTTTTAGCACTAAAATGGTTCACCATCGTCTAAAAAAAGAGCTGTGCATATGCACATTTTACCTGAATATTTTTGGGCTTAATTTAAATGTCCTTCACTATGAAATGAGTATATCATCCACATACCTGGATATCCATTGCTGGTGCCCATGTAGGTATAACATCATTGGACATTGAATAGTCTCCATTCTGTAATGTTCTAAACATGATATCATTGGAATTCACAGTACTAACAATTCTGATTGGAAGACCCATAAAGCTAGCTAAACATCCAGCTATAACGTTTTGAGAGAAAAATAATTGTGTTAAATTGTTGCTGGAATAAAAATGGAATAAATTAAAATATTCAAAATGTTCACCATGCAGTCAGCTAAAATGAACACCATGCGGTCAACAATTTTGAATCAGATCTGTAAAGCAAAATGGCCACCATGAAGTCAACCATTTTGATCAGATCTATAAAACAAAATGGCCATCATCCAGTCAGCCATTTTGAATCAGATTCGTAAGAAAAAAAGGCCACCAAGCTGTCAGCCATTTTGAATCGAATCCGTGAAACAAAATGGCCACCATGCAGTCATTCATTTTGAATCAAATCCGTGAAACAAAACAGCCATCATCTAGTCAGCCATTTTCAATCAGATCTGTAAAAAAACAAGGCCACCATGCAGTCAGATATTTTGAATCAGATCCAGAAAACAAAATAGTTATCATCCAGGCAGCCATTTTGAATCAGATCTGTAAAACAAAATGGCCACCATGCAGTCAACCATTTTGAATCAGTTCTGTAAAACAAAATAGTGCACAATAAAACCATCTAATGTTCATATAGACAATACAAATATGTCAGCAGAGAACTACCGACATAAACACAGAATCCTGGATTATTTATTATAATAATGCAATAAAATAATGTATCATATATACTTAATATTAAAATGAATGAAATGTTACATGGATACCCACCGGATATGTTACCAGCAGCACCAGTGGGAACGATAATTTCAGCAATTTGATCACAAGAGTCAGTTATGTGTAAATATGCATAAAAATAATGTACCATCTGAACCATGACACGTGCCCAGTTGATAGAATTTAGAGTACACAAATTATGTGCTTCCTTGAAAGTCTCATTATTATACAGCACAGCAGTGACATCATCTAAGCCATCAGATGTTGTGTTCTCACCTGAAATAAAACAATTTTACTGTAGTCATAGTGACGTACCTGCCATCACATGTACAATATCATTCAGTACTGTTGTCATAGTAACATACCTGCCATCACATGTACAATATCATTCAGTAATGTTGTCATGGTAACATACCTGCCAACACATGTACATTATCATTCAGTACTGTTGTCATAGTAATGTACCTGCCATCACATGTACAATATTCATTCAGTACTGTTGTCATAGTAACATATCTACCATCACATGTACAATATCATTCAGTACTGTTGTCATGGTAACATACCTGCCATCACAAGTACAATATCATTCAGTACTGTTGTCATAGTAACATACCTGCCATCACATGTACAATATCATTCAGTACTGTTGTCATAGTAACATACCTGCCATCACATGTACAATATCATTCAGTACTGTTGTCATGGTAACATACCTGCCAACACATGTACATTATCATTCAGTACTGTTGTCATAGTAATGTACCTGCCATCACATGTACAATATCATTCAGTACTGTTGTCATAGTAACGTACCTGCCATCACATGTACAATATCATTCAGTACTGTTGTCATAGTAACATACCTGCCATCACATGTACATTATCATCTAATACTGTTGTCATCATCAATTCCTGTATTTTAGTGATTCGTCCTTTTGGTAATAGTACAATAATATCCACCCATTTCAGGCCACGTATACTTTCAATTGCAGAACTTCCAGTATCACCAGATGTTGCTGAAATACAAAATGCTACTGATTACACCATGAAACCAAC